CAACCAATATAGTTATGTATTTGCAGAAGTGCACGTAAATATGGTTGGCTATAATCTGGGGATTGAGAAAGACATCAGTGTAAGAGGTTGCTGGGGAGCTAGGAAAGAAGCTACCGTGGAGGTTTTTCATGTTTTAGAAAAGAGCTCGGAATGTATATTGTGACCATGGAAGAAAATGAAGCGCTAGGAGATCCTAAGCACTCGGTAAAAATTTACAAGGTCATCTTTAGAATAATATAAAACAACGATTTCCCCAGAAAAAGATTACATCTTCTTGGCCTGACATGTATTTGCTCCTTCTTGGTTCCCCAGGCAGATGAAGTCCTCCAGAACTTCCTGCAGTCGCAGGCGGCTATAGAGAAATCCATCCTGCAGTCAGACAAAGCCCTCACAGACGGAGAGAAGGACTTAGCAGGTACAGAGGCAGGGCAGGTCCCAGCCGGATGGGTAGGTTCCTGCAGTGCCCTCTGAGTGATCTGACAGAAAGAACCTTCCTGCAACAAGGAGCTCCCTTTAATCTGTAAATAACAAGGGACTCGGGGTTATGTGTCAGCCAGACAATCAGGTGGATGCTTTTCCATCACATTCTGAAATTCCTTTTGCTGGTGTAGGTGGTGGGAAAATTCAGAGATTCCCTATTCCCCTACCTCCCAGCATTTTTAAAACTTGGTTTGGTCTGAGCTCAGGAGGGCAGGACTCAGGCCTGACTTGTTTTCCTCCCTCTCTAAAACCTTTGTGGAACAGCCGAGCGGGCCAAGAAGGAGGCAGCTGAGAAGGAGCAGGAGCTGCTCAGAGAGAAACAGAAGGAGCAGCAGCAAATGATGGAGGCTCTAGAGAGAAGCTACCAGGAAAATCTTGCCCAACTGAAGGAAAAGATGGAGCAGGAAAGTGAAAACCTTCTGAGAGAGCAGGAAAGGATGCTGGAGCACAAGCTGAAGGTGAGTCTGGACGGGGCTGGGTGGTGCCTGATGGACAGTGCCCTGGTTCCTTGGGAAGAAAAGCACCAAAATTTTATACAAAGTCATCATTCTAGAAGGAAATCCAAATGATGTATGAGTCACTTAAATCTCATATATACTTGGTACTGATGCCCTGAAATCCACAAGACTGCAGCCTCTTCTGAAGCATTAGGGTTTGTACTGTACCAATAGCACTTCACAGTGTGCTGGGCTGCTATTTTTGGTGATCATAGGTTAGTTTTGTCAGACTCTTACTCACTAGTCCTTCATGGTACAACCATCAAAGGCACTTATAATATATCTACCCAGTTTTTAAATTATCAGACTGGGCCTGATATGAAATACAGAGCTGAAAGCTCTAAAACTTGCTACATCTGTTTCCAGATATGCCTGATTCACCCTATACAACTATAGTAAAATGCATCTTTGTCCCACCCTAAAGCTTCATAATGAATATTCTGTACAGAGACAGCCGATGCCATTATTTGCTTTCTGCAGAAGCGCCCTGAACTGATAGAACAACTATGGTGGATTGAGAAGTTTGCAGGATTCTGATACTTTCTTCCCTATTTAAATGTAATAATTGTGCTGTGAGCCAGAGGTGGTGGATTCATCCCTGGGTAATTTTCATGGGTGGAAATTTCACAGAGCATGTGGGGTGTTCAGTCCCTCAGGAGAACAGGGAAGTAAGTTCAGATGAGTGTGCATGTCCTTTAGGCCACAGTGAGTTCTTTTTACAATACTTCCTAAAACTATGTCTTTTCTTTCAAGAACCCTAGAAAGCAGTTAATATAGTAAATATATATTAAATTGAAGTCCTATGGATGACAGCTCATGTATTTATTCAACCAATGTTTTTTGAACACCTGTTGTTTATGTGGTGCGCTCTGTGCTAGGAATCAAAGCTGTGATGATGAAAATGATCAAGTAGTGAGATCAAGAGGCAGTAGGACAAAAAAGAGATTGTTTCTATGAAAATTAAATTGAATGCTTTGGAAGGACTTGACAAAGCGAATTTTTAATTATAATGGCTCTCTAACTGGGAAGAAACAAACCATAGTAGAAGATTGAGAGGGCATGTAAATCTTTAGAGATTTTCTCAAGATGGTTGTTTTTAAGTGCCTTCAATTTCTCACTCTACTTGAAATAAGGAGAAACAAGAATTCAGAGGATTCATCAAGGGCGTAGCTCATGCAATGAGAAAAACACAGAAGAGTATCTAATCAAGAAAGGCATTGGCCCTTTATAAAAAATTGGACAAACATAAGTACACTTACATGTTTTAATTAATGTACAGCAGAATGAAATATTTTTTAAAAAGAGGTGGAGGGGAGACAGCTATAAATCAGTCATTTAAATTGTCACAACAATACAAAAAGAACTATCCATGGAAGGAGTGACAACATGGCACAATGGTAACACAGAGCNATAACAATGCCGACGCATAGTCAGCACTGTCTATACCATGTGTGGGGTAGGATGTGTGTTTTAATATACAAAGTACATTCAAGGTATATGGGAAAAAACCTACACTTAGGTGCTTCTTTTGAAGTTAAAATTTAATCCCTGGAATAATATTATGAATTAGGTATTACTGTTATCCACATGTGAAAGTTGAAAAATGTGATACACAGAGAGGTTAATGAATTGCCCAGGTCACAGTGCCTGTAAATAGGAGAG